GTTGGGCAGACGGAATATGTGCCGACGGTGAATGGTCTCGTGAATGGCAACGAGCAGTTGGCAAGCGGTATTTGTAACACCTACTGTGAACGAGTCTGTCAGAACGGCGTTGAGCAGGAGTTTTGTTCCCCTTCAATTTGGTACCCCGACGCACCAATCTCACCACTCAAGACGCCCGACTCGGGTTACTTTGAAGGTGGACAGAACCAGTGGTCGTCTATTCCTAGAACTCTTTCACCGGCATCTGATGTAAAACCAGACTGGTCTGTGTTTTGTTGAGTTCGCTGGCAGCTATATTATCAAAAGCGCCTTTCCTTTCGCCGGCAAAAATGAAATACGGATTCATCGGCCTTGTTCGAAGCAAGGAGAACCCCCGGTTGGTCTTTCAGGCCAAAAATTAACCACATTCTCCGAAAACCTGCCCTTTAGCCCTTTAGACTTTATATTTGTTATAATTTATTTTGCACGTGAATAAATCTGCTGAAATTAAATGCGCTCGTTCTAGTTATATGAGCTCTGGGCTAAACTCGGCTTCCAATAGTCTACAAAATCCGGGACATAAGATAAACTGGTTCGTGATTACCACATATGCAATGTACCACAGTGCTCTGGCGAAAGATATAACTGCAAAATATTGCATGACAGTTAATTATCAATATATTAGTGAGACATTGGAGGGGTCCATGCTTGAAATTTCTCTTCCTCCTTCTCAATTAAGAATAAATATGTCCATGACACTGAATCAGCACGCTGGCCGACGATTTCAACGCGCCCATTCCTCTGTCAATGATGCTATCAGGACGCTCAAAAAGTTAAGTCCATAGAAGGATCTCTCAGTCTGTGAATATTCAGAGGAGGGTAAATAGCTGGACGCCCTGACATATTTTAGAATTAAAGTGTTAGAAAAATTTCTGGAGCAATCCAGGAGAATCCATAAGCCGCTACCGTGGAGGATGATAACTTAAATTCTCTAGTGGAAGATCTATGCTAGTCGAATAAGGTAAGGTGTATCTGCCTAGCTCTGTGCTGAACTAATTAGGTATAAAATCGTCATCAAAAGCGGAAATGCGCTAGAACACCTGGCTATCGTCGAGCAAAACATACAGTGGAAGCAAGCTATACAATGATGACTATATTCAACAACGCGAAGTGATAATGACATATATGGCTCCTGGGAATGAAACGGGAGTAAGCTCCACTAGCACTGCACGTGAATTGACGCCCAAGTAAAGGTAGAAAAGGGCGAGGTTTATGGTTAGACCTAGATTAAGATTAGGCTTTAGGATTTGGTTAAGATATGTAGGTTTCAGCCTAGGGTTAGTGCCAACAATATGTTTGGCAATTATGATAAAGGTTTTAGTTAAGATTAAGGCTACGGTATGCGTTTATGTTAGATCTAATGTTACGGGTACGCGACGGAACTATTTAACCTTCCTGTAATTATGCGCAGGAGTACTTTTGGACGGGACGTTCCCATTTCTGTGTTCGGTTTACGAGAGGGGGCGGCATATATGTCCTCTCTACCCAACACAAAAGCTAACACTAAAATAACTAGAAGCCGGATTTATTTAAGCGAAGACGTCATAACTGAGAGCGGTCAGCTCTGGTGACTTAGAGGCGAAACCGGGTTTGGGTACAATACGTAGGAAAAAGGGACGCCGATTGACAGCGTGGGCGACGACAGGTAAATCAACCATTACCATAAGGATGCATAGTGTGTGCCAGGACAGGAAAAACACTTCCTCCACTCGAGGAACCTCAGTCTTTTAATTTCCTTAGTATCTGATGTTTGAACTCACAGTAGATCAGTATGTTCAGGGGTCTACAGCCACAGACTGAAATTTGATGTGAATATTTTGGCCGAAGTCTATAAGCCACCGCGAGATAACCGCATAATATACACAGGCTGTCAGCAGGCAGACAGTAGTATAGTTTTATGTTTTGCTTTCCTCATCCTCGGAAGAGGAAGAAGAAGAGGCAATTTCCGAGAGCAAGTTGTTTTTAACCTGACGTTTCGATAACATTTCCGCTTTCATCGTCAGAGCGTAGTGTGTGTTCTCCTGCTCGCGTCAAGTGAGTGCCTCTGACCGCGTGTTAAAACTGTGCCTGAAACTCGGGCGCCTTCATGCGATGTGTCACGTCATTCGTGTGCCTAATGAACGTTTCCAGCTTCTTCGCTCGCGGCTGCCGGCTATTGGCCCTGCGTATCTCCCTTCGCCCGACTTACTGCTCCGTTCTGAGCAGAGGTTAGCCTTATGCGTCGCGCTTGGTAGGCAGGGTGAAGGTCTATGGCTCCGTTAATTGTGTCCTCGATTGGCACACTTAACAGAGCTATAGACCTTCATTCCGCCTACCAAGCGGTCCGCATACGGCTAACCTCAAAACCAGTTTATCAACAAAAAAGCATACAAGGAAAGTTGCGGAAGCCACTGATGAGCCCGACAACTCGCAGCTGTGCCAAGCAACTGCAGAAAACCGGCGAATCACATCTCTGGGCTTTTAGCTAGTACTTGTGTTGCTAGTATGGTGAATAGCAACATAAGCTTAGAAGCCCTCCCAAATGTAAAGACAAAAATTAAAAAATACAGAGAACAACAGTTTTATTTGGGGGAAGTAAATGCACGTAAATTATTAAGGCAAATTTGCGGAAACAAGTTTTAGGTGAAAAGGATCATTTGAGGCATATATCATAAGTTATTAAACTGCAATTTTACTAATCAAGGGGGCAGTCATATGTAGAGTTAG